GGTGCACCCAGACCTACTTGGCGACACTGGTTTCCAGCTCCCGGCCTTGGCACGTCTTCTGGCCGAGCTGGGTGTGCAGGTTCTCAGCGCTCGCCTCCCACGCGAGGCAGGACCTGGGGTGGCCGCCCCCACCGAGAAATCCTTCAGACGTCCAGGCGCCGGTCCTGCGCCTGCCCCCCGCTGCGGCCAGCGCGCCCCCCTCTCCCGCCCAGTTCCCCAGCATCGGAGGTGGGGTAGACGTTTTCCATTGTTCTCTGCAAGAACGTCTGCCTTCGGGAGCGCAGCCTGGCCCTAGTGCTTAAGCCCAAACGGCTCCGCAGCCGACCTGGTCCAGCCAGCTAAACGCCCCGGGGGTAGCATATAATATGAGTGACTGGGTGGGGTGGGGGGAGGAGCCGGCAGGGAGAGGTCAATGTGGGGGGAAAGGAGACATTATTTTTTATTTTTAGCAAAAACAGAATTTTATTAGAGAAGGTAAAGGCCCCTGAGTCAGCTCTCTCGTGGCGTGTGCCTGCTCATGGCCATGCCTGCGAAGGTCCCACCTGCCACGCAGGTTCACACGCAGCTCACGGGAAGGCCTGGAGGAGCCGGGCTCCGTGCTCAGCACTCGGAAGCTTGCGGGTCAAGCGTCCACAGCCCCTGACCTCGCAGGAGGCCAGGCCGGTGAGCCCCCCTGTAGGACAGAGGTCAGAAGTCCCCCCTTTTATAGGCACCCACACCCCTGGATGTTATGAGGTTCTATGTAGCATGAACACTTTGTAATATTGATCAATTAAATGTAAGACAACTCAAAAAAAAAAACCCCAATTGTCTGTGGCCATCGGTTATGCTCATATGCATGCACACAAGTCCTTTGGTTGATCTCTTAACCCTCCTCCCCTGCCAGCCCTCTGAGGTTTGAGGGTCTGTTCCATGCTTCTATGTCTCTGGATCTATTTTTGTTCATCAATTTATTTTGTTCATTATATTCCACAAATGAGTGAGATCATGTGATATTTATCTTTCTTCAACTGGCTTATTTCACTTAGCATAATGCTCTCCAGGTCCATCCATATGGTTGCAAATGGCAAGAATTTCTCCTTTTTTACAGCAGCGTAGTATTCCATTGTGTAGATGTACCACTGTTTTTTAATCCATTCATCTGCTGATGGGCACTTAGGCTGTTTTAGCTATGGTGAATTGTGCTGCTATGAACATAGGGGTGCATATATCCTTTTTAAAAATTTTATTGCTTAAAGTATTACAAAGGGTATTACATGTGTGTCCTCATATATCCTTTTTGATTGATGTTTCTGATTTCTCATTGTGGTTTTAAATTTGTGTTTTCTTTCTTTTTTAAAAAAATAGATTTTAATTGATTTCAGAGAGGAAGGGAGAGGGAGAGAGAAATAGAAACATCAATGTTGAGAATCATTTATTGGCTGCTTCCTGCATGCCCCCTACTGGGGTTTGAGCCCGTAACCTGTGCATGTGCCCTTGACCAGAATCAAAACTGGGACCCTTCAGTCTGCAGGCTGACGCTCTATTCACTGAGCTATACTGGCTAGGGCTAATTTGTGTTTTCTTAATGACTAATGGTACTTAGTGTCTTTTCATGTGCTTATTGGCCACTTGAATATCTTCTTTGGTGAAGTGTCTGTTCAAATCCTTTGGCCTTTTAAAAACTGGGTGGTTTGTTTTCTTATTGTTTTGAGAGTTCTTTATATATTCTGGATAATTCCTTTAGCAGATATGTGATTTGAAAACATTTTCTTCCAGTCTGTGGCTTGTATTTTTACCCTCTTGTGTTTTTCAGAGCAGAAATTCTTTTTATTTTTAGCAAAAGCAGAGTTTTATTAGAGAAGGTAAAGTAACAAAGCTCTCTGTAGCAGAGAGGGGTCCCATGCGGGTGGTCCAGGAATTCTTAATTTGCGGTCACTTTCTGCTTTTTTTCCGCAGTAATTTTTTCTTCCCGCTTCTGTTCAGTTGGTCTATAAAAGGCAATGAAGTTTCCCGCAGAGGCAGAGGCAGAGCCACGCAAGCAGGACACACACTGACACGCAGATCTCCCCATCATTTCCCCGTGTGCCAAACCCTGTAGGTGACGAGACATTGTGAGGGGTTCTCTACAGCTTCCCCACTCGGTGAGTGAGCCTCAGACCAGCAGCCTGGGCATCACCTGGGGCCTTGTTACAGGCGAGGCATCTGCCTTTTAAGGAGCTGCCCAGTCATCAGCACACACTGAAGTTTGTGGAACACACCATCACCACCAGGCCCACAGAAAGATGGGTGCATACTTTCACAGATGCAAAGGCGAGGGAACATTGCAGCGAGTGGTCTCTGCCCACTGAATTATCGTAGAATGCCAGGGGCCTGGGAGCTCGCGGCCAGGAGAGCCACACTCATCTGTATTGGGGTGAGCTGGCCTGGAGTGGGACTGTTTCTGAGTGTCATGCAGGCAGCAAAGCAAGTCCACATGGACAGTTAAGGAGTGATCGATGAGGCTGTGTAAGTCCCAAGGCCATGTTCTCCAGGTCGGCTTTGCCCTGGAGGGGCTCCATCCCATAAGGCAGTGGTTCTCAACCTTCCTAATGCCGCGACCCTTTAATACAGTTCCTCATGTAAAATTATTTTCGTTGTTACTTCATAACTGTAATTTTGCTACTGTTATGAATCATAATGTAAATATCTGATATGCAGGATGTATTTTCATTGTTACAAATTGAACATAATTAAAGCATAGTGATTAATCACAAAACAATATGTAATTATATATGTGTTTTCCGATGGTCTTAGGTGACCCTTGTGAAAGGGTCGTTCGACCCCAAAGGGGTCGCGACCCACCGGTTGAGAACCGCTGCCAAAGGGATGTCCAGGCACCTGTCCACACTGCTGGAATGGTGAGCAGTTTCCTTTTCAGAAACCTCCTAGTCTTGCACTCCGTTCTGGCTGTACTCCCCACCTGTGTGAGCAAGTTGTTCTGAAGCATAGTAACCTCTATCTGGTATAAAAAAACCTGCTGTTTGAAACTCTCTGCTATTGTTAGACAGTCCATAGTCCTGTAAACTCTGTCATGATAAATAAACTGTCACTTCAAGACAGTCTGTTATTCTGTAAAATGACTTTGTTTTTTAGTTCAAGTAATAGAAAAAGATAAACTTAACTGTCCGAACTTGCAAGCTAGCCAGCTAATGTAACAGACTAAAATAGATTAATACTGATAATAATTCCAACTACTAACTCATTATGTATTCAAGGTTACAAACGAACTGTAACAATAACCTACACGGAGGTCTTAGTGAAACCTGCAAACAGAGACACTGAAAAGGTATAAATACGAGACACTTCCTCTATGCAGGGGCTCAGAGATTTGGAAGAGACCCAGTCTCCCTCTGGGCCGTGCGCAATGAACGACTCCGAATTTATTGGCTTATGACGGCGTCTTGTATCTCATTCGATGATTTATGACACAACAGTTACTTTTTGAATGCGTGGCTTCCTTTCTTTTGGAAAGCCGTTCCTCCCAAAGTCCATGTGGTTCTGCTGGTTGTCAGTGAGAGCATCCACCTTCCCATGCTCCTCTGGTTCCTGCCTAGTTCTAGGCCTGGGTGCTCCCCTTCCTCTTTGAGCCTGTGTGTATTCAGCATCGCCCCAATACACTCCCTTTTTCCTAACTTAGTTTGGGTTTGTGTTGGCAACCAAAGAATTCTCACTGATTACACAGCCTTATAAGATAGTTGGCCAGGAAGGCGCCTTTGTGCCCTTCACCTTGTGGCCAAAAGACAGCCCCTCGGAATACATGTGGGGTAAATGGCTTGCGGGGAGCAGCCCCTTTATGAAATAGAGAACGAAGGGCCTCTTCCAGGGGAGCCCTCCTATAGGGCCCGTGGCTTGTCAAGCAAAATGCAGCCTGGAGCTCAGCTCCCACTGCCCCCGTCAGCCGTGAGCTTTTGTGCAGAGCGCGGGTAACGCAGCCCCACATAGAGGGGCCCCTGTTGTCGGGCCCCCCACCCTTCCCCTCAGCTCTCTTCTCCTCCTTCCACTTTCCGTTTACCTCCGCTAGGCTGTTACTCGGGCAACATCAAAGAGGATAACAGCTATGTTTACCTTCGTAGCAATAGTTACGTCTTCCGTGCTTTGTCCATCTGTTGATTCTAAAAGTTGAAACTCAATTAACAGTGTTTAGCTTATGTATTGTGACTTATAAATATCTTTCAATGCAGAGCTAGTAATCACTGAGATTACATTTCCTTTCTTGAACTGCTTTAATTACCTTTTGAGAGACAATATTGGACAGATTCACAGGATTATATGAAATATATGTTAGTTATAAATGATTCTACTATCATGAATACCATGTACCTTTCACCCAAATCAGGCACCAGGAACCTAGTGCCAGTAATGTGCATGTGCCAATGTAATCCTCCCTGTCCCATTCCCCTGTTCCCCCTGAGAGAGAGGCAATATTATTTTTTGTGTTTATCATTCCACTGCTTTAAAAAAAAAGCCATGCACTCATAATAGCATGTATGCATAAACAATGTTCTGTTTGGTTGTGTTTGTTTATGAGCTCTATAAAAATGTTTACAATGTAGTCTTCTGGGAGTTCTGTTTTTTTAGGAAACATTGTATTTCCAAGATTCTTCCATGTTGTTTTGCATTGCTATTGGGACTGTTTATTATGATTAGAAACTCTTAGGAACTCCAGGAAAAATGGAAACAGAGCCAAAGAAGGAAACCCAATCCTGATGGTCACCAGCTCGATATGAATGTCAGTCCCAGTAGGCCCAGCACCCCCTTCGTCCATCACTGCCCCCTCCTAGTGTAGAAGAGAGTTATCCCAACCCATGGCCAAGGAAGCTAGGGAATTTGTTCACCAACTCCCTATCTGTGAGTAGTTCATAGGTCAGCCTCCTCAACCGGGTGCCCCTGACCATGGCCGATTGTTCTGGGGATGGCACTCGTCCCTGGCAGGGCCAAAGAATGTTTGGACTTAAGACTGAGAGGTCTCGCTCTAGCCGACTTGGCTCAGTGGATAGAGCATCAGCCTGCGGACTGAAGGGTCCCAGGTTCAATTCCGGCCAAGGGCACATGCCTGGGTTTCGGGCTCCATCCCCAGTGTGGGTGACAACCAAAGGTTAATAGCTTAGGTGTCTGTGGTGAGCCGACATGGCCATGGCATACTCAGCCCCATGTTGGGCGCCTTATGTGTTGAGCCAGCTCAGCCAGGTTCGGTGAGCCTGAGTGGGGGTGGTGAAGGATGGAGAAAAGACAGACAAGAGAAGAAAGCTGGGTCTGGGTGGAACGCTGTCCCCTCTGATGGAGAGCCTCTCTGATGGAGAGCTAGCGACAGCACCACGGACTACAAGCCGTGTCTTTATTTTATAGCCAGTTTCCACGAGGCAAAGAAGGACATGGTCAAGATGTTTACAACATTCTCGTGGGTTTCGATCCTACTCATTTACATGCACCTGAACTCTATCAAGCCCACATCACTCAGGCACATGGGTCCACATGTTCGGACCATAGGTTCAAGCTTGTAACTACAGCTGTTGGCTATCATTGTGCTGGGAGGGCTTTGCCCTCCTAGCTGGGACTTGCACATGGCCATGAAAGGACTGTGCCCTCTCATTGTCCAAGGCTTGAACTTGTCCAAACACTGTGGCCGCTCTCCACAGGTGTCAGGGCCACGTTTCTCACTACGTGGAGAGGAGAGGAGGAGGTTGGTCTGCAGAGGAAGAGCAAGATATTCTGGGAGAAGGAAGACCAGAGTCGGAATGCTATGGTCTAAATGTCTGTGCACCCCCAAATCCATATGTTGGAAAACTACCCCAAGATTTATAGTATTAGGATGTGAGCCTTTGAGAGGTGATTAGGTCATCAGGGTGGACCCTTATGAATGGGATTAGTGCCCTTACACTAGTAAGAGAGACCCCACAGAGCTCCCTATCCCCACGTAAAGACACAGCGAGAAGTCTGCGACTTGGAAGTGGGGCCTCACCCAACCATGACGACCATGACAGCACTGCGATCTTGGACTGCCAGTATATGATTTCCTGATTCCAACCGTCCCCAAGGTGCAGCTATGCACGTGACCTCAGGATTCATGGCTAACTCACCTTTTACTTCATTTAGGTTCTGTTCCCTCGTTTACAGCCACTGATACGCCAGGAAGTCTGCCAAAAACCTCTGTGTTTTCGTTTCCTTCTCAGGCGAAAGAGCACAAAAATAATTAAAACGACAATTTAACAATAATAACTATCACTTTCTGGGAATTTACTATGAACCGACAAGTGCTTTTTTTGTTCCTTCTCTCATTCAACACTCAAACCAAGCCCTGAGGCAAGTATTATCGTCCCTGCTACAGATGAGTAAACGGAGGCGTAAAGAAGCGCTGACTCATGTAGGTTCACGAGGCTGTTAAGAGGAAAGCCCAGCATTCACACCGACAGCCTGTGAGCTTCACCACATGTGTCATTCTTCCACAAAGCAAACCAACTCTGGTGGGATTCAAATTCACACCCAAACTTGAAAGGCTTTCTCCTCATGAGAATCCCAGGAGCTAAGTGAGGTCCGGAGCCACTATAACCAAACCGGGCTGCCATGGGTGACTCAGATTTCTTTTCCTATAACTTAAAAGAGAGATTAGAAAAATCTTCTCAGATTACATGACACCCACATACCTTGTCCTTATCCTACCCTCCTCCTCCTGAGGCTGCAAAAAAAAAAAAAAAAAAAAAAGGTAGAAAGAAAGAAAGAAGAGGGAAGGGAATGGCAACTGCTGACTGGAAGTGAGGAGCGGTGGGAGAGAGGGGTAGGGGTCAGTGGTGAGGGTGATTACACCTCTGGAAGACATTTCCAAATGCTTTCCTGGGGACAAACTTCTCCCTCCTCCTGCTCCATCAGTGAGCATTTGAGGTTGGTGTCAGGGCAGGCGAAACGGGAAGGGAAAGGAGACCCTCAGAGACCATTGCTCTTAGGTGAAGGGAGGCCGCAGAGCCACAGTTCTGAGCTGAGACCTGAGGAGCAGTGTTTGGAGAAGGAGTTGGGGTGAAGCCGTGGGCCCCTCCCCCATTTAACTGACGCCCAGGAATATTCCATGGCAGTTAGGGGCCCTGTCCTGCCAGATGGGTTGCTCTTCCCCAGATGCCAGGCCCTATGGTGGCACCTGCTCCGCTTGATGAAAATATTTAGAACGTGAGGGACAACTGAGCCGAGGAAGGGAAGGGGCGACATGGGGTGGAGGATAGAAGGGGAGACAGGGGAGGCTCAAGATTGGGATAGGGGACAGTAGGGGTGAGGAGAAAGTGATAAACTTCAGAAACATGGAAAGGAAGGGGGTGCTTAAAAAGGAAGATGTGGTAGAGGTGAACCCGGGACAAGAAGAGGGGGCGCGGGACTTCGCCGTCTTCCCCAGCAGAAACAGGCTGCTGTACAGCCACCGGGACTCGTTGCTGCCCCTGAAATGGAAAGTTGCACACACCGCCCGCTGGAAGGCGCAGGTGCTCGCCTCGGTGCTCAGCCTCATCGCCTTGTCCCTGATGCTGATCATGGCCTTCTCCAAAACGTGGCTGTACCCCTCCACCATCCGCTTCTTCCAGCGCTGGCCTGCGGATGTCACAGAGCGCATCTACACATCTACCCACATCATGTCCCGGGGGCTCCTGCAGATCTGCATATTCCAGACCTGCTTCTCCTCAAAGGATGAGGAAGGTGTGCACGCCCCCTACTGGGGATGTGCTCGCAACCAAGGTACATGCCCTTGACTGGAATCGAACCTGGGACCCTTGAGTCCGCAGGCTGATGCTCTATCCGCTGAGCCAAACCAGGTAGGGCCACCTCGGTATTCTTGTCCCTTCCTTCTGATCATCCTCACTGTGTTTGCCCACAAGATGACTCCACTGGCCCCAAGATTGCCAAGGATCATTTTTCCTCCCCGAGCCTGGCCAAACTGACTTGCCTGGCCCTTCGGTGGAAAATGTTACTGCTTTTGATAAATAAGGCTTGCAGTCAAGCCTGTACTTAGAAAGATGTTGTGAGGGGCCTGGACTCGCAGGGCCTGTGAATCACTCATCAATCACATCCTTCACCACGATCCTGGGAGAAGAGCCCATCAGGGTGAGAGTTCCTTTCTCTAGAGTTTTGGGAGGAGTCCCCAGAACGCTCTCCCTCCCACCCTGGTCCCAGCAGCTGTTCTTGCCTTGGCTCAGGCTTTGCTTTTCTGGGCCAGTTCCGGGTTTCCACATCTGGTTTCCCTGCCCTCTCCGTCCTGGCTTCTTGCAGGTGCCTCATTCCCGCTCTTGTTAATCTCACCGCATGCTGTCCTCTCACTTGCAGATTTGGGCCTCCTCTCTCAGATCTGGTGGAAAACCAGAACCTTTGACCTCCCCATTTCCTTTTCTTCATTGTCATTAACATTTTCAAAAAAAGTTACGTAGCCCGGCTGGTGTGGTGGCTCCATGGTTGAGCGTCAACCCACGAACCAGCAGGTCATGGTTCGATTCCCAGTCAGGGCACATGCCCGGGTTTCTGACTTGATCCCCAGGGTGGGGTGTGCTAGAGGCAGCCGATCAATCATTCTCTCTCACCATTGCTGTTTCTATCTCTCTCTCCCTCTCCCTCTCTGAAATCAATAAAAA